GGTGGATAAGTTCAGGAAGCGCAGTCCGAGAAGTGTGGGCAGCTCTTTAGGGATTTCGCCAGAGAAATGATTATTTGATAGATCTATAGATGTCACGAGCCAGAGAATGGTTGTGTAATCAACCATTGATCCTTTTGTTGTTATTACGATGCTCTCGCTATTAGAATAGTTACCTTCATGAAATGACCGTGTGTGCATCTCAACCATGGCGCTGAAATTTGCTAGAGATGATGGTAGACTACCGGTTAGATTGTTGGAAGAAAGATCCAATACCTGGAGAGAAGTGAGATCCACTATGTTCTCAGGGATAGTACCGTATAATAAGTTTGACCTCAGACGAAGAAACTTTAATGACGAGAGATTTCTTCCTATCCATGTCGGAATTTTACCAAATAATTTATTTTCACCTAAGTCAAGGGTAAGTAATTGGCCACAATGTTTCAAAAACGAAGGAATCGTTCCGGACAGGTTGTTGTTATTTAAATGTAAAGATATCAGAAGGCGTGGGAATGAGTTATGACAGTCTGGAACTTCTCCAATTAAGTGATTATTGGAGAGGAGAAGGATTTCAAGTAAATGCATATTGCAAAAGAAGGGAGGCAGACTATCATTGATATGATTATGAGACAAAGATAATAAAATGAGGTTTGTAGCTTCCGTAAAGTCTAATGGAATAGGTCCGACAAATGAGTTATTAGAGAGATCTAACATGGATCGAGGAGCAGAAGGTAATGAACCCATCAAATGATTAGAGCTCAAGTTAAGTTCTTGCAAATCTTTTGAGAAATCTAAAAACCAAACAGGAAGGCTACCTGAGACCCCAACTCCAGATAGATAAAGCCCTTGCAGTCGCTGTTGAGTCTGAATCCAATCAGGAAATTTTGCTCCTATATGACAAAAGCTCATATCGATAGTGAAAGCACTAAAAGGGGGGCGCCAATCATTTGGTAGCATCACATTCAAGGAGTTGAAAGCTATTCTGAATTCATATAAGTTTGTGAGATTAGAAAAATGTGCTTCGGTGATGTTACCTACTAGAGAGTTTGAGGAGAGGTATAGATTTAGTAATTGAGATACTCGACCCATACTTGAAGGAATAGTACCGCTTAAATGATTGTGCGACATATATAAGGATAGTAAAGATGTCCATTGTGTGCAGGCAGATAAACCATCAAATAGATTGGTTAGCTCCCCACCAATGTTGTTTTGAGACAAATCTATCATGGTCAAGTTGCACAGACCACCCATTGTTTTTGGTAGCAAACCTGATAAATTATTATTTGATATGTCCAAGCACTTCAAACTATGGAGTCTGCCAATCGTATCAGGTATTTGCCCAATAATAGAGTTATCGCGTAAACATAACAAATACAGGTTTTGAAGACCCCCAATGGTTGATGGTATTTCTCCAGAAATTTGATTGTTGTATGATAAATCTAAGTGTACCAAGTTGGTGAGGTTGCCGATGCTCTGTGGTATTTTTCCAATGATGCCATTAAAGGACAAATCTAGGTACTCCAATCGGACAGAATCTCCCACGATTGGTGGAATTTCTCCACTGATTGAATTGCCCGACAACCATAAATGTCGCAAGTTTGTGAGATTCCCCAGAGAAGCTAAGATATGCACGTCGACAATTAAATTCAATGATAAGTCTAGGTACTCCAGGTCTCTAAGGCTCCCTGGAGGAATATCTCCAGATAATTGATTGGAGCTCAAATCCAAGTGCTTCAGGCCCCTGCTACTGACATTGTTCAGAATTTCACGAATTTCTCCTTTAAACAAGTTGTCTGACAAATCCAATCCCTTCAGATTACTGAGAGCTCCGAGAGCAGCTTGTACCGACTCGATAGTGAGACTCCCACAGCCAGAAAGAAGGAGGTTCTCGAGGCTGGTGGCGTTAGAAAGCCATCTTAGCATGGCAGACCTGATGTTAGAATTCAAAGACAGATCCAACGTAGCAATGTCTGTCAGATTAAAAGGGGGCAAAGGAGATGGAACATATGGCAGGTCTACATCAAACAAATGTAGCACTTCAAGTGTGGGGATTGAATTAATTATGTAGAACCAATTGGTTGCTTTGGAGAGGTTGACATAACTCATGTCAAGATATTTTAGAGAAGGAATACGGGAGAGCCAATCGAGATCATCAACATGTAGAAAATCATCATCATACCATCGTTGAAGGTCGAGATAGTGTAGGTTGGAGAGGTTCCCCAGCTGAGGTGGAATTGGTCCATCGAACATGGCATAAGATAGGTTGAGATATTCCAAGTGGACTAGTGAAGCGATCATTTTGGGCACAGGGGCGTGGGAGAAGTTATTCATGCTCAAATCCAAATACTTCAATTGCTTCAGTTCTTGCAAAGATGGATTTACCTTGCTCACGCCTATTCTTTCCCCATCGTTAAACATATCCCACAATTCGTATGTGTAGGGGTAGCGGAGGTCGAGCTTGGTGACATGGCCGGTGGTGTGGTCGCAGGCCACACCTCTCCACCCACAGCAGTCTTTGCCGGTCCAAGAAGAAAACCAGTTGTCGGGGTCGTACATATCAGATTTGATGGCGAGGAGAGCTCGCCTCTCGCTTTCCATGCAACTGCTGCCGATTCCCTCCACCTCGCCGTGATCCTCATCGCCGAAGCCATGGCCGAGACAGCAGGAGACGAGAAGTAGGGCCACGAGCATCATGAGACGCTTCGAGGCAATACGTCCGTCCTGGAAACTGCCGCTACCAGCCGCAGTCATTGATTGAGCGCTCAAGAGAGAAGAAATGTGAAGGTGTGAGGTTGGAGAGGATGTCTCTGTGGGTATGTATAGGCACATCACCACCGGAAATCCCCATGACATCTGCGCACATTCCCTGTAGATTTGATCCCGTGGCTAGCACGCAGTCAAGGTCAATCACACTTTGACTTTAGTGTCGCTAAGATGCAAGTCAAAGTCTCGGGCGCCCACCTAATTCTGATGTGAGGATGGATGATCCATAGAAGTTGGAGAGGGACCTAACTTCCCACTCACGAAGCAACAACATGATAGAAGCTGCGAAGCACTTAATTCTAATGTGAGTGAGAGTTGGCCGATTCATGTAAGTTGGAGAGGGCCCTAATTTCCCAAATGTCTACATCGATTTTGACTGGTTGTCACGTTTATCGATATTACACAGCTAATCTCCTTCGAGATAACCTTTGTCCTAAGATTAGTATCACGATGAAAGGATTCGACGAAATGATGTGCATGAAAGCTAAATCAGAAGCTTACTCGACAACACCAGGAGAAGAGAATCACGTGAGGCTAATACGCAGTTAGAAGTCAAGAAAACTTAATTCTGATGTGAGGGTTCGATTGGGCATTCATTTACAAAAAAAAAAAAAAGGATATAAATGTTTACGATCGACAAGTCAAGGAGACTATCGGTTTAGAAAGCATGAATTTCTGATGATGTGATGAATGATTTGATATGAATGAAATGAGATGGAAGAGGCGAATCTTCCAAAG